TTCTCCTTGTTGTTCTTAAACTACTTCTGAGCAAGTGCTTTCTGCAGTTTTGTATTACCTGCTGTCAGCTTAGCTTAACTGGAAAGCGCCCCCTTAACTTTTGCTGTGATCGATTCATTGTTCAAATGTAAACATTGCAAATGGAATTTTAACAACTCATCTACAAAATGGAACTGACAACAGGGTTACCATTCCAAAGATAGAAACAGGGCTTTCTAGAAAAATATTATTAATTCCCGATGAGAGTATTGAAATTAGGCAATTTAACTGTAGGGTGAATCAGGGCTTCCCTGATTTATTGAACTCCTACACATGTGACATTAGGATAAGACATAACACATATAGGTATCATAAGTAAATCAGGATAAGGATACACACAGGGTTGTTCCTGTAGCTCTTACCTTCTGTAGTGTGTTCACAACCCTATCTGCCACATCACTTCCTCACACCACTCTCTTTTCTTTCTTAAAATACTTAAACACTCCAATTGACTTGGAAAATAAAAATAGTATTTCCATGCACCTCCAGTATACTACACCCCAGAAAAAAAGAAAACCCAGAGGCATTTTACATAAGAACGGCATTACTTAAAGGTGGGGTAGGTAATTCACTTCAGAAACACTTTTTGTTATATTCCATGGAATGCTCTTAACATCCCGATAGCAATGAATATATTAAATGCTTTGACAATAAATACATACAAATTTCATCTGTGGAAGCCGTAGCACTGTAAAAAGCACGACCAATTATTTTAGCCGGGCCATAATTGGATGGCCTACCTGCCTGTCAGCCTTCCATCTGTGCACAAACTTATCTCGTGCCCTCATTGGTCATGTGTGCATTCGTGTGTGTTGGAGGAGGGGCTCTGTAAGGAAGTCTGAAGGAAGGGGCAGATTTGTGGGTGGTGGGGGGGGGTCGGTCGTGTTGCTGGTCTGTTTTTTGTTTATTGTGTTTTTGTTGTGTTTTTTGTTGTTTAGTGGTTTTCCAGGTTTTCATTTGATCGAGTGCGTATTGTTTATCGATCTCTATGATGTTCTAGGATTTGACACTATGGATAGTCCTGGTCGATGAGAGCGGTGGTGACGGCTAAGGCCTGAACGGGCGTGGTGATGTTTTCTTTTTATAGTAGTCTAAAATACCTTCAGACAGAATCACTGAGTGAGCAGTCGATAGTGCAACAATGGTTAGGTAGTTTGGTTTTGGGATGGGAATAACCCATAACAGAGGACGCCGACAGGATATTGGGTGCAACTGTATAATGCACGTATGGTTGATAATAGTGCGTGATATAACGTCGAGAGTTTATCTGAAGGTTAGTGTATACGATCCGATCCGGTGCAATAAAGCTCTGACGTTATGACCTTCCCAGGGGAGTGCAACAACCAAGTCTGACTCGTTAATGTTAGTTGCGTATCTTTGCGGTACGACTTCAATACAGTAATCAAGTGAAACTTTCATAGACTATTAGGTAGGTATTGTAAAAACAGTTTTGACTCTAACAGTATCCTCTTAGTCATCGACTCTCGCATGTGGTGTCTGAAGTGCGCAAACCCGTCGATTCGATCTGCGGATTAGTGTGTGGACCTAGATAAGAGCCTATATTATCCTGAATATAATCCGATTGGCGCTAGTTTTCTCCACAGTAGTTTAGTTTAGATGGTTTTTTTCTCCCCGCGGGCTCTTATACCGTTTATGGGTTTTACTGAGAGAAAAGATTTTAGGGGAAATTTTCCATTTTACAGTGACACCCGTAGTTATGAATCTATGCGTCGCCATGAATAATATAGCTAAATATTTCTATTATATCTCTAAAGATTCGAAATCAGATGATAGGGTAGTAGAGTTCCCACCAAAGTGATATTCTTTATTAAAAAGAAAAAACCTGCCGGTGTGATATATAATTATAAAAAAAAATTGATCCTACAAGTTTAGACGAAATGAATATTTTATTTTTTTAGCTAC